TATAACATATTTCAAATATAAGATTTCTCATTAAAAATACATATAGGTACACAGCATAAGAAAAAGAAATACGTGTTGTTATTCCTGTCACAATTAATTTACCATTTAAAGTTCTATACATTATACTGGTGAAGACATTAATTAGATTTTTATAAACAAAAGTTTTTTTGAGAAGTCAAACTTTAAATTCTTTCAGTTTTGCTTATCAATTCATTTCTATTTTTAAAGTTTTAATACAACTTTATATATATATTTTTTTTCACTCATTTTTTAAATGTTTAGAAATGTATCAAGTACAAAATTCTGTCCCTTTAGCCTTTTGTTACCATCCTACTCCCTAGTAATAGAGACCATAGCGGTGGTTGTGTGCCGTGGAGTCGGTTCTGACTGCTAGGGACCCTGTTACAGGGTTTCCAAGGCTGTAAATCTTTTCAGGAGCAGAAAGCTTCATCTTTATCCCGTGGTGAAAGGCTGGTAGTTTCGAACTGTTGACCTTGCGGTTAGCAGCCTGACTCGTAACCACTACGCTACCAGAACTCCTTGTTAGACACTATTAAGAGTTTGATATTTTTAAAAAAGTGTAACAGTCCTGGTGGTGCAGTGAGTTAAGTATTGGGCTGCTAAATAAAGTCAGAAACCACCACTTTTCAAACTCAGCAGCTGCTCTGTGGGAGAAAGATGAGGCAGTCTGCTTCTGTAAAGATTTGGTTTTTTGTTGTTAAGTGCCGTCAAGTCGGTTCCAACCCTATACAGCGACCCTGTATAGGGTTTCCACGGAGTGGCTTGTGGATTCAAACCGCCAACCTTGCAGTCCAGTGCATTATCCCACAGCACCACAGCAGCCTCAGAAGCCCAAGGAAGCAGCTCTGCTCTGTCTCACAGAGTCACTATGAGCCAGAATCAACGCAACAGCAGTCGGCTAGGTGTTTTGGTTCGGCTATTACCGGCCCTTCCTGGTCATCTCAGTGATGTGACATCCAGGCTGATTTCTCAACCAGTACTGGATTTATTCTGTGTGCTAGACAATAAGCACTGGACTGAAAACCACAAGGTCCGTGGTTGCAAGCCATTCCGAGGGAGAAAGATGAGGCTTTCGGCTCCTTCAAAGATTATTTAAAAGCTTTGGAAAACCCTATATAGGGCCACTATGAGCCAGAACCGACTCAACAGCACTTAACAACAACAAAGTATGTAGCTCAATTACTATTACTCATATTTGTCTTCAAATGTTTCAGTCACTCTAGCTGATGCTTTCTATCTAAAGGCATGATTAGAATTTCAAAATATTAATATGAATGCATTCCAAAGAACACAAACCCAATTCTTTATTAGTTACAAAAGAAAAGTGAAAGAAGAGGGAAGAAGATGTGTGGCCCACAAGGAAATTACTCTGTATTGCTGTGCATCAGTACCAGTTGACACTGAGTTGATCCCTGACTTCTCCCTGATTCTTTGGTCTTCGTCTTTGAGAATGAGTCCTTACAGGATAGTTTGAATAGAGCCAACCTTAAGCTTTTTCTCCAAAAATCACATCTGTCATCACCCATCAGATAGAATTACTTCAAAATAAAAGACAAAATGTTTAAAATGGTCCTATAAGCAATACATACTTCATAAATGTTGTAAAAGAACAGATACGCTGCATCTCAGTGTCTTGTAGTAAAAGCAAAGTAACATCTGAAAGGAGAGAGGGAACAGTGAGAGAGGGACAGAGAACTGTCTTGGAGGTTTGCACAGACAACATAATACAGGGATGAGGACAGACTTACTCACATTTAACATCGTCTAGGGTAACGGAGCCCTGCTGACCTCGCTTCTCTAAGGCTTTAGATGATTTATCATCTCTTGCAGCTAGTCTTTTCTCTGTCAACCTGTTTGGAATATAATGGTCTCCAGCAGTGTTTTGAAAGGTTTTGATTGCATTTAATCTACCCTGAAGTGAATGAAGCTTTTGGTGGTGCAACAGTTAAAAACATTCGTCTGCTAACTGGAAGTTTGGCAGTTCAAACCCACCTGACAGTTTCAAGGGGAAAAGATCTGGCAGTCTGTTCCCATAAAGAATACAGGCTAGAAAATCCTATAGGGTAAAAGTTCTTCTCTGTCACATGGGGTTGCTGTGTGTCAAAAATCAACTCAATGGCTCCCAATAATAATGAAAGACTGAGTATTATGTGTGGATTTTATTTAATGGAAGATCATTACTGAATACATTTTACTAAACATTAGGTTTAATAACCTAGGGGTGGGAGGGGACTCCTGGGGTGGCACTCTAGGATCAGCAGTGGGCTGAAAACCACAGCTTGGCAGTTCAAACCCACCAGCTGCTCCTTGGAAGCCCTATACAAGGTTGCTATGAGTCGGAACCGACTCGAAGGTACATAACAGCAACAACAAGGGGTGAGAGGGCTGTTCACTGCCTGATAGAATAGAAATGTATAAATACCATTCCATCCAAAACAGATCATTTAAGGCATTCATTCATGACGTAATGACCATTTTCAGATTTTTTTAAGTATAAAAAGTTAAAAAGTTGCTGCTATTCCAATTACCAAGGAGCTCTGGTAGCGTAGTGGTTACGAATCAGGCTGCGAACCTTAAGGTCAGCGGTTCGAAACTACCAGCCGCTCTGCGGGAGAAAGATGAGGCTTTCTACTCCCGTAAAGATTTACACCCTCGGAAACCCTGTACAGGGTCGCTATGGGTCGGAACCGACTCGACGGCACTTAACAACAACAACATTCCAATTACCACAGGGACACACTTGTAGGACTATTGTAACTGCCATCATATTTCTGAAATAGTACCCGTTCCTTCCTTGGAGTTTGTAAAGACTTGAGTTACATTGCTGAGCGGTGCCCTAAGCAGCACTGGCATGGACGGGAAGTTAACTAAGTCACCTGTCTGAAGCTGTACCATCAATTTCAGCAAAGTGAACTGCTTTGCCTTTCTTTCCTTTTTCCTTGAGTTCTATTGTAGGTGTAAAACTGAAACAGAAATAAGAGAATTAAACACTTAACCTTTTCCCAGAGAAAATTATTAGGCTTACTCATTTCCACGGCCCATGTACCGATTAGGGATAGCATGTGTTATCAGTAGAGCCTGAAGAGAATTTGAGGCCCAATAGTATTCAATTCACGTATTTACACATGGAAATCCTAGCCAAGAATTACAAAGTCAAACTTTATACTCAGCCTGCGGCCCCCAGCAGTCTCCAGGATACCACTACACACAAAACATTTCCACCTAGAATGGTTGCAGTAACTTTACAAGAAACACAAAACTCAAGATCAGCTTGGAAAGATGATGTACTGAGTACTGATTGCATGCCAAGTGCTTTTAGCACAATCTCATGTAATCCCCACAGCCCCTCTAGGAGGAAAATAGTACTGTTATCACTGCCATTTTTAAAAACAAAAATGAAGCTTAGAAGAGAGTAAGTAACTTGACAAAGGTCACTTAGCACACGGCCACGCCTGAGTCTCTGGCTGCAGAGAATGTGGTTAACCACCAGGCAATCACGCCTCCTGAGCAATCATCTCTGTTTTCACTGCTGTGGGCTTTTCTAAAGACCTGAACTATCTCAGGAAGGTTTCAAGACCATTTACTTCACTCTATGGTCATCTGGAGTCCTGGTTAATACACTAGACTGCAAGGTCGGCTTGAACTGTAAGGTCAGTGGTTCAAGTTTACCAGTCACTCCTTGGAAACCCTATACAGGGTCACTATGGGTCAGAACTGACTTGATGGCCCTTAACAACAACATGGCCATTGAACAGGCATTACTAAGCCGTCATGAACCTAACAAGAGACCAAAATGAAGCACATACAACTATATACTGAGAAAAAAGAATTTAAAAAGGTGTGGGGAACCTTTCTTCTGCCAAAGTTATAATGTCATTCAGGGGTCATACAGAATTATCAACTTAAAAGTTAGCCTGCTTTATTTGGTCAAACATTTAATTAACTCACCCCTACTGTAACTCTGGTCAGCAGTTCGAAACTACTAGCTGTTCCGCAGGAGAAAGATGAGGCTGTTTGCTCCAGTAAAGATTTACAGCCTCGGAAACTCTGTACAGGGTCGCTATGACTCAGAACCGACTCCACAGCCCATAACAACAACAACTGTAACTCTTGGTGTGGCACTGTAGGATCAGCACTGGACTGCGAACCACGAAATTGGCAATTCAAACCCACCAGCTGCTCCTCAGAAACCCTATACAAAGTTGCTATGAGTAAGAACGGACTCAAGAGCACTTAACAACAACAAAGACATCATAGCTGACACTACGGTCACCTTGGTAAGGCTAGACCAAATGATCTCACGGGGCTTATACCCCTGTGGGCAGGACGTTCCCCACCCCTGACCTGCAAAGCATCAGGCTTTGCTGGGGCATTGAAAATATGAACTTAGGCACAGAGTCTCAGGAGTGCCAGTAAATGTTAATAGGGAAACCAAGAAAAGTCTTTCAAAGACCAGCAGTCTGTGGACTTTCTGGGAGAAGTGTGGTGTCGGCCAAATACATGTTTTGTAACCCTTGGTGGCAGTGGGATATAATTTTTAGTTTTCTGCCTAAAACAACGCTGTGTTGATTACCTAACCCAGAACTTAAATCTCTGCCCAAAATTAAATGTCTCTGTGTTACACTTAATGTAGATGTAGAAATAGCAGGGGTGGATTAAACTAATAGCACAGATTAGTAAATAAGCACAAATAAACCCATGCTTGCCTTGCTTGTTGAGTAATCTGACACCGAGTTAGTATGGATATCAATCAGGTAGACTCTTGTTATTTTGCTTTCAACACAATCATTTTGAAACAAATTCCTTGAAAGATCTCTTGGATTTATGTTATCCTACAAATAAATCATTTGAAAGAAAAACCTCCCTACAGAAGTAACAGAGAAAGTCAGCTTGGCACCTTCTTCCTAAAGTTTCTGCAAAACCTCCTGGCAATATTCACGGCTTCTGCTGTAGTGCTGTAGGATCAGCACTAGACTGCAAAACTCCTCAGAAACCCTGTACGCTATGAGTTTGATTTACAGCCTTGATGGCACCAAACAACAACAAAAGAGGTTAGCTCTTCCAAGAAGCACGTATGTACAGGACATCCCCTCAAGGGAAAGAGGTGTTTATATTTTCCTATGTTTAAAAAATTATTATCATTGGCACCAACTCAGCCATTAAATGGCATCTAAACTTGATGTGATTTCCAACGCTCCTTTTATCTTCTACACAGATAGGGATTTTAGGGGAGAAAGTGTGCTAAACGAAATACTTAACAGAGGTGGCAAAAAGAAACGGAAAGGTACAAATGTCCTAAAGAAGATATTAGTCATTCAAATTGAACAATGCAGATTGCAAGTAAACAAGGAAAAGCAGCAAAAGGTATACTGACAGGGTGTTGTTGTTGTTAAATGCGACCCTGTACAGAGTTTCCAAGAAGCAGCTGGTAGCTTTGAACTGCCGACCTTGCAGTCCAGTGCATTATCCTGCAGCACCACACTAAGGACAAAATCACATTGACCTGATTGTATAGTAAATTCCTAAGACTTGACAAAAGCACTCCTGGAACGAATCAGCAATTGTAGCCAGATAGCAGGATTCAGTCAACTGCTCTCCTATATAACAGAAATGAAATAATTAGAATTTGAAATTTAAAACTCAGTAGCAAAAAAGTGAAATACTAGGTATAAAATATAACAAAGTATGAGGGGATTTCAAAAAGTTCATGGAAAAATTCCATTATCTTTTCATTCATGATCCATATGAACTCATGAGCTATGGTATACTCAGTGTTCCTAGTCAGCACCTTAATTTAAAGGCATCAATATCTTAAAGAAGTCTGCAAAAGAACAATAAAAACCAAAGATACTACTTTGAGGACTAAGCTGCACCTAACCCAAGCCATGGTATTTTCAACTGCCTTATATTCATTGTAAAAGTTGGACAGTGAATACGGAATGCCAAGGAAGAATTGATGCTTTTAAATTAAAGTGCTAAGAACACTGAGTATACCATAGCTTGCCAGAAGAAAAAACAAATGCGTGTTAGAAGAAGTACAGTCAGAATGCTCCTTAAAAGTGAGGATGGGGAGACTGAATTCAGCTCATGCACTTTGGACATGTTATCTGGAGAGCCTAGTTCCTGGAGAAAAACAGCAGGCTTAGTTAAAATAGAATAAAGATGCTTAATGAAAAAGAGGAAGACCCTCAGTGAGATGGACTGACACAGTGGCTGTTAAAATGGGTTCAAACGTTAACAACATTCTGTTTCTACATACGGTTACTTTAAGTTAGATGTGACTCGACTATACCTCACAACTACAAAATTAGTTTGAAAAATATTGTCACTTAATGTTACTTATCAATACATTCAACAAGAAAATAAAGTATGGTCCATTTTTCATCATAAGTAGACAGGACTGCAATGAAGGAAAGAAACTGTTGGCCCTTAAAATTCATACCTACATGCTCTTGTGCTTTAACATATATATTTACCCCTGTGACTATCTTGTCTAGCTAACCTCAAAATGATCTCACTCTTTACCAAGTAGGATGTTTCAGGAGCTGGTCAACAGAATCTTCTGTGGCATATATGAGAACAAAACTGAAACTGTTGTTGCATGCTGTTGAGTCAGTTCCAACTCATAGCCATCCTCTGTAAGTTCCTGAGGCTGTCTTTATGGGAGCAGAAAGCCTCACTGTTCACCTGCAGAGTGACTGGTGGATTCGAACCGCCAACTCTGCAGTTAACAGCCCAACATGTAACCCACTACACTACCAGGGCTCCTCAAATTGAGATAACTGCTTTGGAAATGACTGACTGCTCAGAAGTCCAGAAATAAATATGCTAAGAAATGTAAATTTTTTATTTTGAGTCTACTATGTTATGCCTTTAAATTATTTATGCTTAATAGACATTAAATATATCATGATTATAATAAAAATTTACACCTCCGTAGCTAACTCCTTTTCCTGAATTCCAGCCCTTCTGCTCAATACCTAAGAGGTGTACCCACATGAACATGTCATAACAACCTCAAACCAATTTGTATTCTGTATACAGAAGGGTAATCCCAGCCACCCAACCATCAAAGCCAGACACCTTTTTTCCTCTACCTTCACATTCAGGCATCTTATCCTGTCAACTCTACCTGTCACTTTCTGTTCTATCTCTTAAATATTTCTTAGTCTTAGACCCTTTTCTGGACTCCTGGTGTGGATCAGCATTGGATTGCAAACCACAAGGTCATCAGTTCAAACCCACCAGCTACTCTTCAGAAACCCTATACAGGGTTGCTATGAGTCAGAACCGACTTGATGGCACTTTACAGCAACATGACCTTTTTTCTATTCCTACCAACACTGATTTAGTTCTGACTGTTTCTTACCTGTATGACTACTGATAGTCTTCCTACAACTATCTAACTGCTCCCCTGCTTCGAGTCCTACTACACTTGAATTCCACTAGTAAATACCTGGAGAATACCTATGCTGGATGCCTAGGTATGTTATAATTGCTCTGTCACCATCTCCCGAGCTTTTAATGAATACATTATCTACTAACTGGTATTATGGTGTGGCACTGTAGAAGCACTGGACCACATGGTCAGTTTGAATCTCAAGGTCGGTGGCTCAAACTCACCAACTGCTTCTTGGAGACCCTATGAGTCAGAACTGACTCGACAGCACTTAACAACTGGTGCTGGTGGTGGTGGTGGCTATGGGCCGTGGGATCGGTTCCGACCATAGCAACCCTGTAGAGGGTTTCCAAGGCTATAAAAATCTTCACTGGAACAGAAAGCCTCGTCTTTCTCCTGCAGAGCACCTGGTAGATTCAAACTGCTGACTTTACAGTTAACAGCTCAACACGTAACCCACTACACTACCAGGTAGAACTGGGCTGCTATCAGCAGCTCTGCAGGAGAAAGATGAGGAAGGCTTTCTGTTCCTGCAAAGATTTACAGCCTGGGAAACCCTGTACAGGATTGCTGAGTCAGAACCAACTTGATGGCACACAAACAACACCAACACATATAAGGGTACATGTGGCACTGTAGGATAAGCACTGGACTGCTACCCACAAGGTCAGCGGTTCAAACCCACCAGATGTTCCTTATGAGTTTGGAAGTGACTTGACAACACTAACACCACCACCAACATACATAAAGTATGGTTTTCAGGAGGAGATGATTATCCCCTGAAGAAATTCAGAACTCTAATGTAGGCGAGTAAAAAAGCGAGGGCTATTTCTGGTGCCCAATCTAGAGTAGCCGGAACAGGGATAATAATGAGGTCCATCGCCTACAGGAGGGCTTATACTTGTTACCTCTTTTTATTTGTTATTGTCCCCTTTCATTACCCCTTTGCCTACCTCCTCTCTATACGTACTATTAAGCATGCAGACATGGCTGTCCAATTTAGTACTTAATCCTTGGAGAGAGGAATTCTCCTTCCAAGACATGAACTGGGGCCTACTTGGATACTGTCTAATATCACTCTATGGACACAAGCTTACCTTTGGGGAACCAAGACTGCTGATGATGTATGCTGTATTCTGTGAATAATAAACGCCTATTGATCACGCCATTAGAAGTGTCTGGTCTGTGCACTGCCCAAAACGATCTCTCACTATGAACTTGTGAATGCAGGATTTTCACTACCTCAAACGGAACCTCAGTACTCCTAAAGTTGCTGTTGTTGTTAAGAGACGTCAAAACAGTTCCAATTCATAGCAACCCTGTATAGGGGTTTCAAGAAGTGGCTGCTAGGCTTGAACTCCCAACCTTGTGGTTAGTAGTCCAGTGCTTATCCTATAGCACCACACCAGGACTCCACTCCTTAAGTAATAACTCTTTATTCCTCTTCTCACCTCCCTCCCCTCCCCACCAACCACAAATAAACTACTGTCTCTGCATTTGTCTAGTGTAGATAATTTATATAAGTGCAATCATACAAAAAAATTTTTTTTTTTGGTCAGACTTACTTCACTTAGCTTAAAGTTTTCCAGGTTCATTCTTGCTGTAGCATTAGACCATTTCACTTCATGGCTGAATACTATCCACTGTATAGACATTACATTTTGTTTACCTATTCATCTGTCGATGGACATAGGCTGTTTCCAGTTTGGGACTATTGTGAATATCTTACACACTTTGGGTTTTTAAATATTCTACTGCGGTTTGGGTGAAAATTTACACAGCACATTAGTTTCTCTTTCAACAATTTATACACATTTTGTTTCGGGACATTAGTTGCAATTCTCTCAATAGGTTGTTGTTGTTGTTGTGAAGTGCTGTTGAGTTGGTTCCGACCCATAGGGACCCTGTATAGGGTTTCCGAGGAGTGGCTGGTGAGCTTGAACTGCCAACCTTGCAGTTCAAGCAGCTTTGCAGTCTGGCGCATTAACCCGCAGTGCCACACCAGGACTCCCTCAATAGGTATATACTTATAATAAATTCAGCATTTTCTTAATTGACATTAAGATGAGTTTTTTTCTTCCTAATCTAATAATTTTACTGCACCCTTGTGGTGCAGAGATTAAGCACTAATGGAGCACTTGGTGTTTAAACCCACCAGCCACTCCACAGGTGAAAGGTTATGGCAGTCTGCTTCTGTAGAGATTCATAGCCTTGGAAACCCTACGGAGAGGTTCTAGTCTGTTCTAGAATAGAGTTGCTATTTGTCAGAATTGACTTGATGGAATTGGGTAGACATTTTACCTCATGAAATCTACCTTTTACTGCAGCAGGTATAATATAATTCCATTAATGTGACTATATTTCTAGAATTCCAGAAGACAATTTCATATAGTATTTAATAACATAGACTCTGTACAAATCCATTGGATTAAAAAAGTTTTAGCCATCTCCTACCTATGAGATTTGGCCAGTCACTTGGTGAAATGATTAGCTGTGTTAATGGGAAGCAGTTGATAAACATTAACTAACAGAAAGTAACACCTGGAAGGTTGTTCAAAACATTAAAGATAGTTATCTCCAGATGGTGAGATTGCAGCCATAATGGTAACTAAAAACGTACGGCCGTCGAGGGATTGCGACTCATAGCGCAAATATGAGTACAAATTGAAAATAAAGAAGACACTTCCCCCACCCCTACCCCAGCCACCTCCACCCCTGCTTTTTATTTCAGCGTTTATTTTAGAAAATGAAAATTCCAAGGACCTGGGAACTCTCCCTTCTGAAATGTAATCATCAATAAAGATCATACACGGGGCAGATTACCCAAGAACCAAGGTAAATATAAGTTTCCTTACGCTTATGAGGGGGCTGCAAAAAGTTCATGGAAAAATGAAATGAAAAAATAATAGATTTTTTCCCTAAACTCTTTGAAGACCCTTTGTTAATCTGTAGTGACATTTCACATTTTTCACTACATAAATTGTCCATTACAAATTGGTGTTAGGTGCCATCAAGTTGGTTCCACCTCATAGCAACCTTGTATAGGATTTCCAAAGAGTGGCTGGTGGATTTAAACTGGAGACCTTTTGGTTAGCAGTGCTTACCCTACAGTGTCACACCAGGACTCCTAAAACTTCTTAAAGCACTTAAAGTGTATGATTCATTACTGTTGTTACGTGCTTTTGAGTCACTTCTGACTCATAGCAACCTTGTATAGGGTCTCCGAGGAGCGACTAGTAAGTTTGAACCACCAATCATGTGGTTAGCAGTCCAGTGCTTATCCTACAGAGCCACACCAGAACTCCAAATTAGTAACTAAGCACAAGTAAATCTGTACTTACCTTGCTTATTGGGTAATCTGAGACTGATCACACCTCTACCTCCAAATTTCTAAGGATATTAGCATAACTTTAGGTATCCTACCATAAAGATGCTGGAAAATCAGCAATTTTATCTTGAAAACATGAATCTATGGTTGGCTGCATTATCCACTTAACTTTATAAAGGATAAAATTTCTTTCTCTTCTTGTTGGGGGGGGGGGTAGTAGTAAGATTTCTTTCTGTTTTTTGCAATCTCTTTATCAAATTACCCCGTGATACATGATGATGCATGGAGGGGATCGTAATCATTGCAATGAAAGGATATCCAATAGGATGAATGTAAAATATGATGTTCTCCCATGTAAACCCACATAATTCACAATAAAATCTTTTTTAAAAAATTACTGTGATGCATCATTCTGGTTCAATGCTAGTTAAATAATAAAATTTTTCTTTGTCTTCCCTTTTTGTGAAGACGTTCTCTAGTTTGAGAGTGAACTTTCCTTTAGTTATGCTTCCTCAGCATAGCAAATATTTTTATATTTTGTAGTCTTCCACATTGCTTGAATTTGTTTTATCCCAAACACATACAATTTTTGTAAAAACTATAGTAGTATTTTATTAAAGTTTACCTTCTGAATTCAAGGCTTTTGGTATCATCCTTCCAGTACCACATCCCTAATTGTAATCTTGAATGCTGTAAAACGAAATGATTGCAGCAAAAATAATTAAAAGTTCCGTTTACAATACAGGTCCCAAGAATCCCTAGTAATCACTCGTAAGTTTATTCAAGATATATAACTTTGTTGTTTAACCTGAAGCTAGGATTTTATCCTTTTTGATTTTTAGGTGTCATTTCAGGCTCTGTAGGATAACCACTGGAATGCTAATCACAAAGTCAGAGGTTCAAGCCCACCAGCCACTCCACAGGAGACAGATGAGGCTTTCTGCTCCAACAGAAAGAGTTACAGCTTCAGAAACCCCACACCTAGTGGCTATGAGTCAGAATTGACTAGAAGCACTTAATAACAACAACAACAAGGTGTCATATCAGTAGTAAGGACACAAAGAAGCATCACTTAGATTGCACATGATTAAGGCTTATCAGAAAAGGAGCTCTGGTCGCTTAGTGGTTAGAATCGGGCTGCTAACTTCAAGGTCTGCAATTTGAAACTACCAGCTGTTCGGAGAAGAAAGATGAAGCTTTCTGCTCCTGTAGAGATTCACAGCCTCGGAAACCCTGTGCAGGGTCACTATGAATAGGAACCGACTCCACCGTACTTAAAGGAGCTCTGGTAGCGTAGTGGTTACGAATCGGGCTGCGAACCTTAAGGTCAGCGGTTCGAAACTACCAGCCGCTCCGCGGGAGAAAGATGAGGCTTTCTACTCCCATAAAGATTTACACCCTCGGAAACCCTGTACAGGGTCGCTATGGGTCGGAACCGACTCGACGGCACTTAACAACAACAACCGTACTTAACAACAACAAGGCTTATCAGAGCAATTTATAGATGGATGAATTAGGCCTCACACAACAATAAAGTGATGCTTTACCTAGGGCAGCTTTACCTATTGGCGGACTTTCTTAATGGGAGGAGGAGCCATGGTGTCTCAGTAGTTAAGCGCTTGCGTGCCAACAAAAGGTCAGAGGGTTTGATTCCACCAGCTGATCTGCAAGAGCTAGATGTAGCAGTAGCAGTCTGCTTCCAATTTTGTAAACCCTACAGGGCAGTTCTATAGGGCCGCTGTGAGTTAGTAACAGGGTAACGGGTTGGAGTTTGTTTTAATAAGAGGAGTAAGCTCTAACATTGAGTCGCCTTTCTGGGGAAGTTGGCAAGAAATTACCCTTTTCTTGTAGTAGCAGTTACCGAGCTACGGGGGATCCCACCCAGAGCCGGACGGTTTCCTCCTCAGTAGGGGTATTTTGCAACCAACCAATTACAGGTGGGGAGGGGGTCTTTTGTAAACATCTAAATAATTGAGTAGGGAGCCTGAACTCAATTCTGCGTGCCCAATATGCCTTACATTTGTGTTTCCGTAGGCAAACTGCCCACATTAGTTGGAGCACCGCTCACGCAGGGACTAAGGCGGTGAGCCCTGGGTGAGCCCTGAGGAGAGCAAGGGGCGTGGCCAGGGGAATGAGGGCGGGCGTCTAGGTCCCAGGACGCTGCCACGCTGAATCCCCCGCGCCTCCCACGGGCGCTGGTGGGGCCCTCAAGGCTGCACTTACTTCCTGCGGGGAACTGGACAGAACGTCCAACTTATTCCTTCTCTGATCAAACTCCGGCAGCCGATACATGGCCTTCACCAGCACGCCTCACAGCGTCGCGGGGGCAACCGCCCGCGGGCACCTGGGAACGCTCCCGCTTCCGCCACGGACAGCGTGGGCGGACAGCGTGGGCGTCGGCGCGAGTACGCTTTCTTGTGGTCCCCAGAGCACCGCCTATTGCTCTGGCCACTTTTGTTTGCTACTGGTGGCGTACTGGCTTATCCTTAGTTAGTCTGTCCACGGGTTAATTCTTGGGTTCACTCAGGGCTTCCCCACCGTGACGTGAAACCACGTAACTATTTTTTGTTCTAACTAGATTCAGTTCTCTAAGGACTATCCATTTGTTACCAACTTAAGTTATTAGGATCCCTATTAAATTCCTGGTGTGGCGCTGTGGGTTAATCTGCTAGACTGCAAGGTCAGTTTAAGCCGGAAAGGAAGGGGTTCAAGCTTACCAGCCGCGCCTCGGAAACTCTAAACGGGTCACTATGAATCGGAACCAATTCGATGGCACTTAACCACATTACATTCAAACCCAGGTTGGACCGAGGATGATAGGCAAGGTTGATGGAGGGCAGAAGGAAGTGTAGTCTAGAGGAAGAAAATATAGGTATGGAAGTCAAGTTTCAAAGCTTGTTTCTGCAGCTTGCTTTAGTGGAATCCAAGACAAGTTAACTTTGGTTCTGCTTGCTCAAAACACCAAAATCAAGGGGTTATGAGTTTTGAGGATTAATGTAAAACACCGGACTTAGTACTCAAAATTGATAAGTGCCATCAAGTAGGTTCTTTATAGCGTCCCTGCAAAGGGTTTCCCAAGGAGCCGTTGGTGGGCTTGAACTTCTGATCTTTTGGCTAGCAGTCCAATGCTTATCCTACAGCATCACACCAGGACTACAATACTCAAAATTAGTGTTGCTCAAAGCAGAGAACCTTGCATTGTGTCAAAGCGTACTTCATTAATATTTTTACATTCACACTTCAGTTTTCAAGTCACATCTTTTAATTCCTTCTTGCTACTGGATTGACAATACAGAGTCTCGTTAATATTTGTTCCTTCCAAACCAATGTAGTTAATGTGAGATGATGCAATGTTTGGAAATGCTTAGTAACATTCTGCTTTTGTATGCCTACAGCTTAAGTGGCATAAAAAGTTCATGATTGTATACACAATAAAAATATGGCAGTATACAAGAGGGCTTCAAAACAGTTCGTGGAAAAATAGAAAAGATAATGGAATTTTTCCAGGATTTTTAAAAATCCTTCTATCTCATCATATGGCTCCATCACTACGCACCACCTCTCAATCTCAGTACTTGGTAGCACACACACACTAGTTACCAAAACCATTTAACAATTATGGGGATACCATTTGTGTCAGAGTAAAACTGTTTTCAGTGGCTGATTTTTGGGGAAGTAGAAAGGTGTCTCAGGGTAGACTAGAGCCTCTAAGTTTTGGTTACCAGCTGAGCGTATTAATTGACCCACACAAGGATTCCAACACACCATCACTGGTTGCAAACCAGACTCACTGCAGTCTATGTCAATTTCAATGCCTAGGGATCCTACAGGGCAGAGAACTGATCCATAGGGTATCTGAGATTGTAGCTCTTTGCAAGAACAGCCAGACTCATCTTTCTCCATGATATGACATTGTAATCACCTGGATTCATGTGTCACTGGATGTCAGTTGTTGGTAGTTGTTCAGACTGCCTCAGATACACTGAAACCCACCTATGCACACAGGCAGTGCTGGGTTGAGGCTGTGGCCTGAAGGTGTACTTATGACAAGATGAGTCATATGTTTACTCCTACTAAATGTTTTGGATGATAGCTATCTTGTTGTTGAGAATGAGAAGGTGCAGGTGTCAACAACGCCTGTTAGATGTTTAAAACCCTTTCAACATCAATGACTGGATTTCCTTTGTATTTAGAGGCTCACAAAAGTAGATGACTATGTTACGGCTGTGGCTGAGCTCAGAGCTGCCTTTCATTTCTTGGGATTGAAGTATAAGCAAAGACTGCACACCAAACCCTGACTCTTATTAAAGATTACTGATTATTTAAATGCATCATCCCTATTTTTCCTCTTAACAAAAAAGGATTTCAACATCCAGTCATTTAATAGCATGCAAAATGTTACAGTAGAATCTTACACTGCTGAGAGTTTATTTTAAAAATTGCTTTGATGTAGGGTTGTGTTGTTAAGTGCCGTTGAGCCAGTTCCAACTCATTGCAACCCTGTTTAGGGTTTACAAGAAGCAACTGGTGTGTTTGAATTGCTGACCTTGTGGTTAGCAGTCCAGTACTTATCCTACAAAGCCACACCAGAGCTTAGGGCAGTAAATGTAAATCAGAAAATCACTTCGAATCAAACTTGTTCATGAATTCCAATGATTTTATCATTACATTTTGATAAAGTTCTTAGACAAAACTGAATGGAATCCATTTACCTCACAATCATTATCAGGAAAATCTTATTAAAATACATTAGACCAATCAACCTCTTGCAGTTTATCCCAGTAAGTGGTGAAGTGCTAATACAAAACCCAAGATTTAACTCACCATAGTCTAATTTACAGCTATCTCCTATAAGAAATGAGGTTAAAATGAGAATTCAAACTCATGACTTGTCCTCAGATGAATTATTTGACAAGTTATTTTACCTTGCCACAGAGTTCCCATGTGGTTCTGTGGGTTAAAGCGCTCCGTGGAAACCTTACACAGCATCACAATGGGTTGGAACTGAGTCAACGGTACTTAACAGACTTGCCCACTGCTGTAGACTTTTCCACTCTCAGTCACCATATAGGGCAGCATCAACTGCCCCACAGTTTTCAAAGCTATAAATCTTTTAAGCCAGTTGCCTTGTTTTTTCTCCTTCTGATCAGCTGGTGGGTTTGAACCATCAACCTTTTGGTTAGCACCTCAACACTTTACCCACTGCACTACCAGGGCTCTCTTATATGTGGTGTGGTTGCTGCGTGACTTTGAGTTGGTTCCAACTCATAGCAACTTACATGTGGTAGAAGGGACATAACATCTAAAGGAATCCAGTAACTCCAAAGGGGCTTCTTATATTTCTGTATCACCATACCCAAGTAAAGTGCTGATTATAGTGGAAAGAAAATATGTTTTTTATAGCTCTAAATCATTTATTCTAAAAAGTGAACCACTGATTGCTTGGGATAGACTTTTCAAGAATTAGGTTTCCTTAAATATTATGACATTGAAAACTCACAACTGTGACTGGAAATGGAATTTTTCCCTTTTCAAAACAAAGAAAAGCAATTGTTATAATTTAGGGATAAAGGTTCCTTCTAAATTTGTCATTCCAACAGAAAAGATTTTGCTTAATTAAGATAAACTCCTCACGGTCACATGGTGGTAGTAGTGTTGGTTGCTGTCGAGTTGATTCTGACTCTGGTGACACCAAATTTGAACCAAGAGCTTTTTGGCTAGTAGTCAAGAACTTAACTTAACCGTTGGCACCAAGGTCATATTAATTACCCATCCCCCACCCCCCCAAAAAAAGAACAAAATTGCTAGTCTCAGGTTGTAGGCCCAAGACATTAACTGAATACAATTCATGTTTATACTATGAAAAAGTCATAATTAACAGATTGGCATAATGCTGTGGTCCTACCTAAAAAAAGTACATGTAAATAAATAGCAATGTTAGATTTTGAATTAGCAACTGCATTTCTGGTTGGCTGTTTATGTCTCCAACTTTCAATTCACATACAATCTAATCTACCCTGAAAGGGGTGAAGGAAAGGGCCTATGGCTCTAGATTTCTTTTAAGGGAAAGACATTAGGATAAGGTCAGCAGTTCAAAAAAGATGAGGCTTTCTGTTCCTAATACAGGGTGACATGTTGGAAGTGACTCGATGGCAGTCAGGTTGGCTTTTTTTTGGTTATCCCCCTACTATTAAAATTCATACATGCATATACCCTAAAATGTTTCCATTCCCAAAAGTATATTAAGAATAGTGGTATTTTTCTAAAGATCCATAATTTTTCTTCAAACAATGACATTCTTTATCTAAATTTAACATTTAAAGATAGTTTACTCACACCTACAGCTGCTCCGCGGGAGAAAGATGAAGCTTTCTACTCCCGTAAGGATTTACACCCTCGGAAACCCTGTTCAGGGTCGCTATGGGTCGGAACCGACTCGACGGCACTTAACAACAACAACAACAACAGTGTTTACACATTAAATAAATGGAAGCAATTGAATATTCCTATTACTCCTTAATCTAAACACAGACATTCTCTTAACTGTCTTGTGATGTTTGGATTTGAGAATTTTTAAAACTTAAATTCTAGAATTATCTAAAAGGGGAACATACCTCACAACACATTTTTATGCTCTGGTAGCGTAGTGGTTACGAATCAGGCTGCGAACCACAAGGTCAGCAATTCGAAACTACCAGCTGTTCCACAGGAGAAAGATGAGGCTTTCTGCTCCCGTAAAGATTTACAGCCTGGGAAACCCTGTACAGGGTCACTATGGGTCGGAATCGACTCGACAGCACTTAACAACATATTCAATTTAAAGTAGGTGAATGCCTCATCATGGTTTCAATCTTTGATTTCACACAGATGGCATTTTTAAGATTGCTGTTGTTGTTGAGTGCTGTTGAGTCGGTTCCGACCCACAGCGACCCTGTGGGTTTCCAAGGAACAACTGGTGAGCTTGAACTAGCAACCTTGATGTTCAAATAAACTTTACAGTCCAGCATTAACCCACAGCACCACACCAGGACTCCTTTTTAAGACTGTTGTTGCTAAGTGTTGTAGAATAGGTTCCGACCTATAGTGACCCTGTATAAGGTTGCCTAGGAGCAGCTGGTGAGCTTGAACTGCCAACCTTGAGGGTCAGACTAACTTTGCAGTCTAGTGCATTAACCCACAGCACTACAACAGAACTCCTTTTTAAGATTACACATGAAAATACTTAAGTTCTCACTGAGTGTCCTTGATATACTAAATAGGTAATAAAATTCTATTAAGTATGGAGCTTAAAG